AAATTAATATTCAAACAGAAATACGTCTTTTCAACAAGTGTGATGATAATTTGAAAAAAATGTCGAAATGCGAAGTTTAAGTTTGAGAATGTTTTGCTAAATATGGAGATAAGAAGACTAGTCATGTTGAGGTTCACTAGGAATGAGTAGCAAACCACATGAGCAGTGCATTGTTGTAGGCAAAATCATCTTCGATGCGGATCCAGTTTAGACGATTCCTAACCATTTTGTATATCTGTTTGACTCTTCGATTAGGAGAAGTAGGAGATGATACTTATCGCTATCATCATTTCCATTAAGATTATATGAAGTGGAAATGATAAATTATGAGAAAGAAGGGTGAGTTTACTTACTTTTTGATGCATAATAATTGCAAACCAACATTAAAGCGTGGTCGACATTTTCATTGGCAATAAGCACGACATTCATTTATTTATATTAAACCACAGAAACAAACATATACTAAAAATCAAGAGTTCTGGCATTTCACTATTGGTCCACTAGATCAATACTAGCATATTTATGTCAATATACTCCGTTGTTATTTTATTATTATAATTTATACATTAAATATTGTACTAAATAAATCATTACTGTTTTTTTTTTTTTTAACTTTGGTGAATGATACCGAGTGGAGTGTATATACAAAAATCTTTTAGACAATAAAAGTGCGTTCGCTATTGCTCAAAATATGACAAGAGTTGGAAGAGTTCAATGTAAGTTTTTTTTTTTTATGGTCTTATAGTCGATCCAATTTTCTTTCTAATGGAATTGTTATTGTTTAATGACATTTGGTGACTAATAATTAAGAAGTTTTAATTTCCTATTAAAAAACATAAAAGAGACAAATGTAAAATATAAGAGGACAAATGACAACATTCATGACTAAACCCATGACATGTATTCAGAGCCATAGCTCAAAACTTCACACTTGTCACACATGGCTTTTATCTCTATACCATGATGGATGGTTGAGATCAAAATCCTAATGAGGAACTAGGTCTTCTCTCCACCTGTAAATACTTAACTATAATCCATCATAAAGATAATGAAAAATTCACAACACATTTGAAATTTTTTTGTAG